AGTTCCACTTTGGGTGGTTTTTGGTTTTTTTGTGTGTGTTTGTTTTTTGCTTTTTTTTTTTTTTGGTTGTTAATTGGATATAAGAGTCTCTTGGACTTTCCTGACCAGGCTGGCTTTGAGCTGTGATCCTCAAATCTTAGCCTCCTGATTAGCTAGGATTATAGGTTGAGTTGCTGGTGCCTTGCTCTTTTACAAATTTCAGAGGAAGCATGTTTCATTACCTACAATGACTATGCTTTTTTCTTCATAAAAAGTCATAAATTTGTTCTCTAATTTGAGAATAAGGTTTATTTTCTTTAGTGAGGATGGGGCATCTCCCTTTATGAATGATTGCTTTCTTTCTTTTTAAAGAAATTCTTTTTTTTTCCACTGAGGAAATTACAGTCAATGGTCTTTGGAATGGTTGAGTACCCTATTACTATCTTCAGCAGTATTTCTTTTTTTTTTTTTGTCGGTCGTGGGGCTTGAACTCTGGGCTTGGGCGCTGTCCCTGCGCTCTTCAGCTCAAGGCGAGCGCTCTACCGCTTGAGCCACAGCACCACTTCCGGTTTTCAAGTGGTTTATTGAAGATAAGAGTCTCAGGGATTTTTCTGCCCCAGGCTGGCTTTGAGCTGTGATCCTCATATCTCAGCCTCCTCAGTAGCTAGGATTACAGGCGTGAGCCACTGGTGCCCGGCTTCAGCAGTATTTCTATTTATTACCTTTCCAAAAAAAAAAAAAGAGTTTTCTTTGGGAGTAATATATCCAAGGTCTTGTGTGTCTTCTCTTTCTTTCTTAGGCTCCTGTTCTATGCTGGTCCCCTCTGGGAACATTAGAAATAGAGTAGCAACCATTGCCTTAGAAAAAGTTAGAGCTGGTGAAATCTGAGCTAAAATACTGTTGTTAGACAAATGAGGATCCTGTATGTCACAGAAAGCCATATATTGGATATTTTAAAAATTCATAATACATATAATAATCATTACATCCTATTAGCAGTTAAGTTATAATCTTTGTTGTTCTCTACCATACTGTCTTCTTTGGGAGATATAAAGGGTTAATGTTGCAGAGAAAAGCATTCTGTAAATTGTAAAGTAATACACTAGTAGAAAAGATTATACAGCCCTTATTGTAATGTCCCTGAGTGGTTTCTTGGCCTCTATAGATTTTTTCACCTTTCCTTGGAGACACTTTAGGAAAAGGCTCAGTCTTTCCTTTTAGGCTGCAGATTGGCAGAAGCTGCAGTTGTAAATTTCTGTAAATGCATAATAATTGTACACTCAGAAAGAAAAGACCCACTGACCAAATACCTCATTATCTTTTCTAGAACATCCTGCAGCAAATATCTAGGAGCTCTCTGAAAATACCAAATAAATCATATGGTACCATTAAAGCTTGGCAAGGAAGGGGATAAAGGCTGGGAAGAAAGTAATTCCATTCTGCCCTTCAACAGGTTAAATATCTGAATCTATAATTCCAAAGCTGTTCATAGTCACTGCAGAAATTTGGTTCACTTAGGGAAAAAAATTATTACCCACTCCTGAAACAAACATCACCATTAGTCTGCTGCTGTCATGACTGCATAGGATAAGGACACTTTGCAAACCATTAAATGTTTTTAGTAGTTTGTTTCTTAACTATGGTTCCATTGTCCATTCTGAAAAAAAACTGACTGTTCCTTAATGGCTATATATTATAGGATATTTAAGTAAATGTATTCTTTTAACTCATAAACCGATGAAATACATTTTTATTCACTTGCAGCACTACACTTTATATTGCTGGAAATAGAGTTAATAAGTTTCAAGCTTCAGTAAATGTTTCCTGAGTAATACAGGGAGACCATATTATACCAAGCACAGTGAAAATCCTACTTTTGATAAGCTCACAAATAGGTAAAGTAATAAAATATTCATACCAGACATTACATAAACAACCAATGGCTACTTTACATGAAAATGTGTGTCAAAAATACCAGTTTTATGTTCAAAACCTGTTATATTTTAAGAGTAATGGTAATTACTATGTAGTCATTAGTAGGAGTATACATATTCCTTCCCTCTCAAACGAATGCCACAAAAACATAGTTCTCCCCAAATTTTCATCAATCATTTGTTTGGTGTGATCATAATTTCATATGTAGTCAAAATCCAATAAATAACAATACAAACTGTTTTGCTTCAAGCATAGCTGAAGGGAAAGAAACTAATATGGTCTACTTCATATAAACCCCATTCCCCCAAAAGAGTGATAGCATTGTTAAAGAACCAAATCTCATGTCCTTATTTATACTTGCTGCAACCAGGTGGGAGACCATGGCTCATTTCCTGGGAATCAAAGCATTTTAGAATGGAAGAAATAGACAGGTTTGATTCATAGATTGTGTTACCCTGGTAGCTATTTGAAAGAAAATGTAAGCCCACTTTAGTCAGTTTTTACTCTCATGCTCAGGAAAGGATTCCAACAGCAGGATCTGAAACCTTACTGAAATCCCTAAAAAGAACAGAATACAGGCTTAAGGGTTTATTTATTTACTTATTTACTGCAATACCAGTCAGCAAAATTACCTGGCAGAAATTTTCAGTCTTATTCAAACACTTGATTTTGCTCATTATTTTCTTTTGAATTTTCAGGCTAGTTTCATGATTATCATGTAGGTATTCATTGTATGATGCAACGTGTATTTTGTTTTATTTTCTGATTGTGTGTGTGACTGTTTTTCCCCAAGTTGTCCTCAAGGAGGCAGTGTTTGAGAATAATGTCACTCCAGCTAAGATGGCAACCTGTTTGTGTTAAATGTTAAGATCAAGTCAGCTGGTTGCAGGTGGATGCAGAAAAAAAATGGTGCTATCACTGAAGATCAGATATTCCCAAGTGCACAAGGGAGCAACTGCATAGCAACACGGAGCCTACTGGAGAAGGGTTGGGCTCCTAGCAATGTAAGCATTTGCCTAAATCCTTCAAAATCCTCCGGAGCCATCCATTAGTTAATCAACATGACAGAATTGTTAGATAGGATTCTTAACTCTGTTCTAGAGATAAATGATTCAACTAGTGTCTGGGTCTTCTGGTGACCAAGTCAAAATACTGGGGTCTTTGTCTCTTACCAGTGCTGCCAGTGTCTCAGCCAGCTGGTCAGCACATCTATGGAGAAGAAGCTAAACCAATTCCCCTTTCCTTAATCCTCCCTATCTGTCTGGCAGACATTTTCTTGTTAAGCTGCTAGGAGATGTTTCACACTGAAAGATACTTTTCATTGGGGACAAAGGTGGCAGATACCTTCCAGAGGTCAAAAAAGGATGGTTTTGTAGACAATCCAGGTAATTGAGGTGTCAGTTTCTTTGCCAGGTTTCCCAAATTTCACTTAAGATGGCCACAGTTCAGGTGACTGGCTCATCTCCCTCCCACCAACTTAATTCAAACTCTTCCAAAGGACTAGAAGCAAGCCCCAGGATTAGAATGAGCTCCCTGTCTAGCTACCCCACTGTTTCTTTTCTAGAAAACTCCACTGAGAAAGGTATTTGCAGGAAGGAGAAGGATCCATCCCCTGGTGAAAGCAGATATGAATTTTGTTTTAATGTCTGAGTTTCCTACTGTTAATTTTATTTATTTTTAAAAATGTGCATTTTGTATTCTGTGAAACTTTTCTTTGCCCTAGCTTTCCACTTCTTTGTCTTTTTTCATTGCAAATTAGATGTTTTGCATCTCCCCCACCCCACCCCAGAACTCAGGAAGCAAGCAGCACTTCCATTTTATGATTTCAAACTCTACTCCTCTGTCTCCCCATCTACATTCTACAGGTGTGCATCCCCAGCTAAAGGGTTCCCTAACCACATCCCTAAGCCCAACTAAGCAACCAGATGAACCAGCATTGTTAATGTGTTGTTATTTGTGTTTGTGTGTTTCCCTTTACTGGAAGCTAAAGTGAGGTGTATATATGCATAAACCACAGTTTCGTGAAACAAAGTTTAGAAGAACGAGTAGGGGGACCAGAAACACCAAATAAGTCTCCCACTGGAAAATGTACAGAAGGGGAATTTTAATATTCAGGGTAAACACAAAACCTTCTTCCCCCCTCCCGCTTGGGCTGTTGTAGGAGGTCCCTTCACTTCCCCCTCCCTCCCAGCTAAGTGCCACGTTTTCTAAGACATCACTGTAGACTGAAGGGTTTCCGTTACAAGCTCTTAAACCCCAACTCTTATTTTTTTAATCTTTTAATCAGGACTCCAGTTGTACCATTCTAATTGATCTTGGTGCAGGATTCCAGTTGCGGGCTTGTGATATATCACTGTATCACTGCATTTACCTGCTGGGAAATCCTGCAGACAGATGGAATGGTGGCTTCAGCACACACACTCTAGCTCTCCCCCTCCTCCCAGCGAACCCTGCCCTTCCCCTGCAGTGCGCGTGGGCGCCACCCATCCCCGTATCCCCATTGGGAGTACCAGCTCCCAGCAGCCAGCCAAGGTGCTGGACACCTCCTTGGAGCTTCGCCAGCTGTGCCTGGGTTGAGGCGCCCCCTCCTCAGTGGCAGGAAAGGGGCCAAGCAGACAGTGGCTTTGTAGCTTGGGCCTCTGCGGCAGTGACCATCACTAAAACTAGTGTCCCACTGCCCCCACTCAGTACCATCAGTTATGTATCCAGGTCAGCTACAAACATTTCACATCTCTTGAACCCTCCTCTCCCCCAACCTGCTATCCAGGGCGTCTTCTCCCGTTTTCAAGACAGAGGCACTCACAGCACTGTGGCTCCCTCCCGGGGGCAGGGGGGGGGGTGGGGGGAGGCTGCCCTCTCTCCCAGCTTTGCTGTCACTATCCCATCCCTAGCCCTAAATAGCCCACTCTCACTTCCCACATGTTGCTTCCCGCCTTCCAGTCTCTTCCCATTCCCCCATTCCCTCATCTTTCTGAGCATCTTGGTCCACCAGTAGTGGCCAGGTTGTAAGCGATACCCTGAGTCTAGCAAGCTCCATAGCCACCCTACCTCCCTTATTTCTTTCCTTCATCCATTCTTTTCCTTACCTTTATTCTGGACCATGTCACTGGCGTTCGGGGCGATGGCAATGGCGAGGTCTTTAGTCCCCTCTCTTGAGGGACCACTGGACACTGCAATCGGCATGGTGCTGGACTCGGCTTCAGACAGGTTTCTGGAGCTGGTTCAGGATAGGACTCTAGGCCCAGCTCCGTGACAGGTTCTGGGGCCGTCTCTGGAACTGTTTCTGAGGCCGGCTCCTGGGCAGATTCTAGTACTGGCCCTAGGATAGGCTCTGGGGCCGACTCTGCGGCAGATTCTGAGACTGGCTCGGGGACCGGCTCTATGGCTAGTTCGGGGGCCGGCTCCGGGGCCGACTCTGTGGCTAGTTCAGGGACCCGCTCTTTGGCTGGTTTTGTGGTTAGTTCGGGGACCGGCTCCGGGACCGGCTCTGTGGCTAGTTCGGGGACCGGCTCTGGGGCCGGTTCTGCGGCAGGTTCTGGGACCGGCTCCGGGGCCGGTTCTATGGCTAGTTCTGGGACTGGCTCTGTGGCAGGATGGGTGTCTAATTCTGTGGCTGGTTCTGGAGTCGCCTCGGGACAGGGTCCTGGAACAGGCTCTGGACAGGGCTCGGGTTTGGGTTCTGGCGAAGGCTCAGAGAGCGGTGGAGGAGCTGGTGGTGGAGGAGCGGGTGGCGGAGGGACAGGCGGTGGAGCTGGCGGCGGTGGCGGCCACGGTGGCGGTGGCTCCGGGGACTCTTCGGGCTGCTCTCCATCCTGAGGCGGGGCAGTGCCTTGGGCCGCATCAGCTTCGCGGTCCATAGCTGCACACCGCCTCAGGTCTGGGCAGCCTGCGTCCCTAAGCTTGGAGGGCTAAAGAGCCCTCGGGCGCCCCACCCACTCCAGTCTGACATCCCCTCGCGGGGTGCCAAACTTTCAACCGCCGCGCTCCATGGCTGGCTCCGCTCTGAAGTCTAAGCTGGGGGCGCAAAGCGGCTGTCTGTGTCGGAACACGCCCCTTGGTGAGCGCACACCTCTCCGTAAGCAGCCACCAGCCTGATGGGCGGGAAACAGAGGGGCTTGAGAACGCGGACTGGGCAGAGAGCTTGATGACCTCCTAGCGACGCACGGGAGGGGAGGGGGGAGGCAAAAAGAGGAGGGGGAGTGGAGAGGCTTGGTTGGAGGTTTTGATGCCTGGCTGCGTTTAACCCCTTAGTGACTCAAATGGAGTGTGTGTTGGGGAGAGGGGGACTAGAGGCAAAGTTGAAGATCTTTGAAATCCCCCCAAACCACCTCAGCCAAGTTGCTGCTCATCCTATGGATGTTCTCACCACTTAGCAGCAGGTGAATCTAGCAAGGAAATAACTGATAACTCCCCTCCCCCTTCTGCCCCATCTCCAAGCCTTGCTGGGCTTGTAAACCTTTTTCCCTAACCCGGGGCGGTGTGGGGGGATGGAGAAATCAACCTGCAAGGGGTTAAGGGGAAGACACTTCCTTTAGATTAAAGTAAAAATTATTCCCCCTCACAGACTCTTCCTCTTCAGTTTTTGCATTTCTGCGCTGTACCAGATCCTAGAGGTTTGCTGTTGGATATGGGGTTTATGGTGCGTTCAGAAAGGAAGGACAAGGAGCTCTGGCTTTCCGCAGCCTGCAGAGGTAGCCCCAAGACCAAAGCAAATGCCCTGGTAGCTGGTGGCTTGGCGGCTTAAGCGCTCCCCGGAGCTAAGGGGAGCTTTATCTCCGCAGCTATCTGGCATCAGTCTGTCTGGGCTTTGCAATACATAGATGTCTTTTGCTTTCAGCTGAATTTTCCAGGCATTACCAGGACCTTTCTCTCCCTCCCCGCTGCGTGTGTGTGTGTGTGTGTGTGTGTGTGTGTGTGTGTGTGTGTGTGTTGGGAGAAATTCACAAATTCACGACAACACCCACGCCTTTTTCACCTCTTGAAGCATTCTGACCTGAGGTTCTGTTGCAGAAAGAACTACAGGAGACTATAGAAGCTCTTTCAGTTGGTAATCATGTACACATATATACAAACCAGTATCTAAGACCTAGACTTTAGGTTCCAATATACTACTAATCACAAATAAAATTTAAGACTTCCCGTGAAGCCACTACTGGGTAGGAACTGGAAAAAGAACGCCTGTAAACCTATCTCATTCCACACATACTGCTGCAATTGTGGATTGCAGCCCTCCATCTGCAGCCCCTCCTCTAGCAATCTCTTCCTAGACCACATTCCCCACTAATTGCTCTTCTTTTTGCCAACTGACACAGGACTTGCTCAGAATTTTCTAGAACCTGCAGGGTTCTTTTTTTTTTCTTTAACCCTACACCACACCTCAGCAGCAAATAATCCTACACAAGACAGTTTCACCTAGCCCCTCCAAATACCAGAATCTCTGCATTTCCCAGATCTTTGCTGCAGGATTTTAATCTGAGCCTTCCTTTCTGGAAATGTTTTACACTGCCTGACAGCTATTAAGCCAAGTATAGGATCTATCTTTAACCTCTGGGGGAAGGAGAAACCCTGTTGAGGTGAGTGCTAAACTCTCTCACATGATCTGCATCCTTCCAGTAAATTCACCCTGTGAGCCCACCTTCTCACTTATGAGCCCACCTTCTCATCCTTCTTAGGCTTTTGGTCCTCTCTCCTACCTCCCAGTGAAACATTAACTCTGAGAGCTCATAACTGAAACCTACTGCTGCCAGATATGACCAGCTGGTAAGCTCAGGCTTGGAGCTCATTTCTCAAGCTTTCACACCTTTGGTGAAATCCCTGTCCTTAGAAGGGGACAGTGTTCCACATTTAAATCTTACCTTCCTCTAAATTCTAACATGTATTTAGAAGGGCTGGAGGCTGAGCAGTAAGGTAAGGTGACCCTTGGATTAGAGAGAAACAAAATGGAGGTGGACATAGACAGTGTGTCCTCAAGAAGAACACCATGGGGGCGGGGGGGGGACTTGAAGCTGTTGCTTTATCTGTGTTCATGGGCACTCATCTATAATTCTGTACTTAATAACAATGAGTCCAAGATTTATTTATTTAGTTTGATTTTATGCCAGTATTCGGGTTTGAACTTAGACCTTCATGATCTTTCTTAGCTTCCTTGTTCAAGGCTGACACTTTACTACTTGAGCCACACCTCCACTTCCAGCTTTGTTTGCTGGTTAATTGGAGATAAAAGTCTCAGACTTTCCTTCAGGGTCTGGCTTTGAACCTAGATCATCAGCTCTCAGGTTCCTGAGTACTTAGGATTACAGGTATGAGCTGCTAGCTCCCAGTTGAATTCAAAATTAATGATGAAAACTCTGGCTACAAGGTCAATTTGAGGTTGTTTGTGCATGGCTTTTGTTCTCACTAATAAGGGTTACTAATAAGGGTGGACATATATAACCCAAATTGTATTATGTTAGATTTGAGAGTTTCTAATTTTTTTCTCAGCCTATCATGTCTTCTGTCATATTATGAGTGTTTTATAGCTTCTTTCATTGTGTGTTTCTTATTTGCTTATTTTGATCACTCCACAACCAGAATAGCTGATTAGTGCCTGACTGAGGGAGGCACTTTTGCTGTAACTACTGTATACCTTCCTCTCTCTTGTAACCTGTTGGATTTTTTAATTATCTTTAAATAGTTGTACAAAAGAGTTTCAATTTAAAATGTTTCTGTGTACAGTGCATCTTGATCAGTATCACTCCTTCCACCATTTTCCAACCACTCCTCCCATCTATCCTAATCTCTCCTCACCCCCTCAAGGATTTGTTTTGTTTTAAACAGGGAGAACTTTGCTTGTGTATTTTCCTCAAAACCTAATACAGCTTGGCACTCATGGTATGGTGGCTCATACCTGTAATCCTACCTACTCAGATCTGGGGACTGATGGTTGAAGTTTGTCCAGGTAGGAAAATCTATGACTCTTATCTCTAATTAATCACCAAAAAGCTAGAAGTGAAGCTGTGGTTCAATGGTAGAGCTCTAGCCTTGAGCAAAAAAGCTGAGGATAGTGCCCAAGCTCCAGTACTGGCACACAAAAAACTGAAAGAAAGCAGCAACAAAAAAGTAAGCCAGTGTTAATACCATAGAAAGTATTCAGCAAATGTATGTTCAATGGCTGATTCATTGTAGGTACTGCCTGCTTTCCCCACCCCCCCTACATTTCTTTTTAGCAGTATTTGATATATCAGATAATTAATTTGAACTCCTCAGAGGGTATTTTCTAATTAAACAATACTTATTAAAAATGGTCAAAATACACGTAAGAATTTCTTCAGTCAGGCATACCTGAAATGATGACCATTTGTTTTTCTTTTTGGTGGTTCTTGAGTTTGAATTCAGAGCATCTGATTTGATAGGTAAGCACTCTACCAGTTGGATTGTACCACCAGCCCTCTAGTCTTAGATGTCTCCTCAGAGATATGGTCCTGAATGTCCCAGGGCAGACAAGTTCCTTCCCTAACCCGATCCTGTTGGACATCTTATATAAGTTATTTGATTGGATAGCATGAAAGGTTGAACAGTACAGTGGGTTCATGTTTGCTGAGTATGCAGTGTTCTGCTTCACCTCTACCCCAGCATTTTCTCTGATTCCACCCCCAAATAAAATCCACCCAAACTAACATAAAAATTCTGTGGTTTCAGACATACTAAGAGTTCCAGAGGGACAAAAGAGAAAATCTGAAGAAAAAAATTAAAACTCTTCTTCCTCCTTTGATCATTTCCTTTCATTATTAAATAAGAGCACTTTCCTCCCTTTTCTCTATCTCCAATAGTTTCAAATTCCCTGAGACCTCCCTTTTTGAGCTATTTGGGAAGGACTCTGTGCCTTTCCTGAGTCTTAGCAGCTACCAGCCACTCCCTGAATTGCACCTCAGAAATGTACACACCTAGAATAGTCATTTTTATAACAATCCTCTGAATAAAATAAAATCAATTTGACTCTTTTGACACAGGATCTCACTATGTAGGTCAGATGGACCTTAAACTAGCTATCCTCCTGCCTCAGCCTTCCAAATGCTAAGATTATAGGCACATGCCATCATACCCAGCTAACTTAAATAAAATAAAGAGATGGGGTAAAGGGCATCATTTATGGAAAAAGTAGAGGATCCAGACAATTCCTTTCGATGGCAATAAAATGCAAACTTATTATCCATCACTTATTCTGGTCTCAGAGGATTTAATTGATATAGGATTAGAGAATTAGAAAGTTAATACCTTGTATTTATATAATACCTTTAGATTTCTAAAGGACTTTCACATATATTATCTCCCTTGAGCCTCAGAACAAATGTGTGAGTCAAATAAGTCTGGACTTCTATTGCACATCCCCACCCTCTAACCTTTTGCAGACAAAAAAACATAAATCCGGTGAGATTAAGTGCCATGTCTTAGGTCACAGAGATAATTAGTGCTGGAACAGACGTTTAGAACTTGTGTCACTCAGCTCCCAGCTGAGAGAGACCAGAGCACAGTGGTGATCAGGACATTGTGAGACAGAAGATGTGTAAATCCTCTCTGTAGCAGAGTGGGAAGCTGCCTTAATGCTCTTTTTTTCAAGCCTGTAAAGAAGAACAGTGACTCTTACATTTTTACCTCCATGTTTTCAGCACTCTCTTGTGTTTTCACTCTCTTATATTCCCTCTCTCTTATGTTCTCTCTTTTATGTCCCCCCCATCTCTGTTACTAACGTGTAACCAAATTCGCTGTTTAGAGGAACCATGTTGAATATATGTGCAATATAAAAATCCACTCAGAAGGTACTAATTTTATTTATTCTAGCACAAATTACCATTGATGTGAGTGAATTGAGGTTGGATTA